GCTGACGATGCTGATGCTGAGAGGGTGGTGGTCATGATGTTGATGAGAATGATGCTGGTGATGATGCGGAGGAGGAGGACTATAATGATGAGGATAGTGATACTGATGGTGATACTGATGGTGATGATGATGATGCTGCTGCTGATGATGATGATGATGATGATGATGATGATGATGATGATAAGTATGATGATGCTGCTGATGATGATGCTGATGCTGATGCTGGTGATGATGGTGAAGGTGATGCTGATGATGATGATTATGCTGCTGCTGATGATATGATGCTTCTGAAGATGCTGATGATGATGACGATGACGATGGTCATGCTGATGATACTGCTGATGATGATTATGCTGATGCTGATGCTGATGCTGATGCTGCTGCGGATGATGATGATGCTGATGATGATGATGATGATGATGATGATGATGGTGATGCTGCTGCTGATGATGATGATGATGATGCAGATGATGATGATGATGATGATGATGATGATGATGATGATGATGATGCTGATGATGATGATGATGATGATGATGCTGATGATGATGATGATGATGATGATGGTGGTGGTGGTGGTGGTGGTTGCTGTGAGGAGGATGATGATGATGATGATGATGATGATGATCTGCTGATGATGATGATGATGATGATGATGATGTGATGATGATGATGATGATGGATGATGAAGATGATGATGATGATGATGATGATTGAATGATGATGATGTTGATGATGATGATGATGATATGATGATGATTGATGATGATGATGATGCTGATGCTGATGGATTGCTGATGATGATGCTATGATGCTGATGTTGCTGATGGATGTGTGCTGCTGCTGATGCTGATTGATGATGATGATGATGATGATGATGATGATGATGATTGATGATGATGATGATGATGATGATGATGATGAGGAGGAGGATGAGAGGAGGGGAGGAGGAGGAGGAGGAGGAGGAGGTAAAGAGGATGGAGAAGTAGGAGGAGCAAGGAGGAGGAGAAGGAGGAGGAGGAGGAGGAGGAGGAGGAGGAAGGAGGAGGAGGAGGAGGAGGAGGAAGAGGAAGGAGGAAGGAGGAAGAGGAGGAGGAGGAGGAGGAGAGGAGGAGGAGGAGGAGGAGGAGGAGGAGGAGGAGGAGGAGGAGGAGGAGGAGGAGGAGGAGGAGGAAGAGGAGGAGGAGGAGGAGGAGGAGGAGGAGGAGGAGGAGGGAACGGAGTGGACCAGAGGTGGAGGGAATAAGAACGGCGCTGGAGGGAATGGAGGAGAAGAGCACTGGGGAGCTAGGGGCAAGGAGGACGATCAAGGCGATGGTCAGCGGAGACGTAGGAGTGAGAGGAAGATCGTGAGGAGGAGGAGGAGGAGGAGGAGGAGGAGGACGAGGATGAGGAGGAGGAGGAAGAAGAGGAGGAGGATCGAGGATCGAGGATCGAGGATCGAGGATCGACGATCGAGTGGCGGGAAGTCTGCGAGAGGGGGTGGTAACATGTGGCATGATGCGAGATCAGGCGGGGCAGGCGAGAGGGGGTGGTATCATGCGAGAAGCCTGCCACTGATAGGATTTGAGCTCCCAGCGCGCCGGGGCCCCAAGGGTAGTGGGAAAAGGGCGAGTGAGGAGGGCACGACATGGGGTGGCGGGGGGGGAGGAGGAGGAGTAGAAAGAGGAGGAGGAGGTGGTGCAGGAGGATGGTCAGAGTTAGCCTATCCTAATGATTCGTCGACACAGATTTTTGTCTCCACTGTGGGAGACCCCCCTTGAAAAATGGGCGCCCCATGGACCTTCATTCAGGCGAGAGCGCCCGTAGTAATAAGGAGTAGGCATGCGCTCCTCTAGGCAGAAGGCACGCGGAGAGGTAGGGTCACCAAGCTCAAGGAACAGCCTCGATTTCGAAAAGGAGATGCACTCGATCCAAGAGTTATGATGAACTTCCAGTTGGGGGAGCGCCCCTTTGTAACAAGGAGCAGACCTGCGTCCTTCTAGGTGTATGGGATGTGGAGGGGTGGGATCATCAAGGTCACGGAAGACTCCAACGAGGGGCCCGTTCTGAAACGGAGCCGCCTTCAAGCCTTGCCATTGTCGTGTATGCTTTTGCGGCGAATGGTTCGGGTGTGAAGGTGACGACCCCTGAAAACGGGCCGCCGTCGATTCTGCAAGTTTTCGGAGGCTTTTAAATGTGCGCGGCGCGAAAGCGAGAGCCACATTTTGACAACCACCCGGCCTCCATCCTCATAGCTGTTGGAATAGTTAGCCGAGTGTACGCGGTGCTAAGTCGAGAGCCTCATTGAGAAAACGGCCCACCCTCCATGAGTGCAGCTGTTGCAAACTTCAAGCTTCAGTATCGCACACGGTAAGGCATTCTTAGGCGAAGCGCCCGGCCCGCCCTATGAGGAGGAGGAGGAGGAGGAGGAGGAGGAGGAGGAGGTGGAGGAGGAGGAGGAGGAGGAGGA